TGTTCCGCGGGAGAAAGATGAGGCTTTCTGCTCCCGTAAAGATTTACAGCCTCGGAAACCCTGTACAGGGTCGCTATGAGTCAGATTCGACTCCATGGCACATGACGACAACAACTCAACCCTATACAGGGTGCTATAAGTCGGAACCGACTTGACTGCACTTCACAGTAACAACTCAGCTCTAATTGTTGTTGCTGTTGTTAAGTGCCATCGAATCGGTTCCAACTCACATGACGTTGTATAGGGTTTCAAAGGAGCGTCTTGTGCATTTGAATCACTGACTTTGTGGTTCAAACCCAGCTTATAGTCCAGTGCTTTTTCTTACAGTGCACACCAGGCCTCCCAACACTTATTACAGGTGGAATGATAGGGGTTTTAGGTGGGGCAACTCAGTTACACAAATTTCTCAGTATATACATATGTCTTCATTATTTTTATTTTGCCTACATGTATGCACATGTATATAAATGTCAAGAATGAATAAGTCTGTAGTTATTGATTTAATATCAAGCATTAAGAGCCATTGAACCATTGTAGAATTACTGCAATTCTGTGTGTTTAGCCCTTTAATTTAAAAAGTGCTCTAAAAGTTTCAGAAGAAAAATTAAAATTCCTTAGAAATTGTATTCCGTATCAAATAAATGTTAAGGAAATATTGTGAATACTTAGAACAACACTGTTTTTACTGTTAGATTTCCTAAGCGTTTGATTGCTCTGATTTTTCCCACACTAAAAAAATTATTTTATGTAATCCATTAACAGATTACATTTGGTTTTCATTTAGCAAAAAGCATAAACTAACATATAAGGAAATTAAATAAGCTTTTGCTTAGTAGATATAAATCAAACATCAAGGAGAAAATGTGTTGAAAATAAGAAAAAGAAAAAAAAATCTTACACTGGGAAGAGCATCTAATGTTATAATTTGTGTTCATATAAATGAAGGATGGAATGATCTTCTGAGAGTCATTTCTTTTTCTTGGTTTCCCTGTTTTTCTTTTGTACTATATTAGTTCGTTGTTGTTATTGTTAGGTGACATTGAGTCAGTCACAACCCACAGTGACTTTATATACAACAGAATGAAACACTGTCTGGTCCTGTGCACAATCCTACACTTGAGCCCATCGCTTCTGCTGCTGTGCCACTTCATCTCGTTGGGGGTCTTCCTCTTTTTATCTGACCCTCCATTTTACCAAACATGATATCTTGCTCCATAGACTGGTCCCTCCTGACAATATGTCCAAAGTAGCGAGACAAAATCTGGCCATCCTGGCTTCCGGAAACCATTCTGGCCGTACTTCTTCCAACACAGAATAGTTTGTTCTTTTGGCAGTCCATGGTACTTTTAATATTCTCCTGCAAAATCATAGCTCAAATGCATCAACCTTTCAACGGTTTTCCTTATTCACTGTCTAAGTTTCACATACATATGAGGTTACTGAAAATACCATGGCTTGAGTTAGATGCACCTTAGTCCTCAAACTGACATCTTTGCTTTTTAAAGATGAACACTTTAAAGAGGTCTTGTGCAGAAGATTTTCCAAATGTAATGCATAATTTGATTTCTTGACAGCTGCTTCCATGAGTGTTGATGGTTGATCCAACAAAATGAAGTCTTTGACAATTTCAGTATTTTCTCCATTTATTGTGATGCTATTTATTGGTCCAGTGGTAAGACTCTAAAGTCTTAAATAACTAAGAATTTATTTTCATTAAAAAAAAAAAAATTGGGGGGATGGTACCTGAAGCTAGGAAAAGGTAGTAGTTCTCTAAACAAGGAATGGAGAATCCCTATGGAAAGGACTGAAATGGGGCAGAATAAGGACTAGTAGGAATGAGGAGATGTATGCACAGAAAAATAGTTAAACAACAAATTCTATCCAATCAATCACTGGTCTGTCAGTTTGACATACTGTGGTGGATTGTATGTTGCTGTGATGCTGGATGCTATGCAACCAGAATTTTAAATACCAACTGGGTCACTCATGGTAGACTGGTTTCAGCAAAATTTTCAGGCTAAGACAGACTAGGAAGACAGAGAAGCAAACCATTTTTGAATGGTTAGCCACTGAAAATCTTAAAAATAGCAACTGAAAATTATCAACTCTACCAGAAGATGAGTCCCTCAGGCTGGAAGGCACTCAAAATATGACAGGAGAAGAGCTGCCTCCTCAAAGCACAGCTGACCTTAATGAAATGATGGGAGCAAAGTTTTTGAGATCATTTGCTGATGGGCCACAAATTGTAATGAGAAGAAATAGAGGCAGACGTTAATAATCGGGACATGAAATGTATGAAGTATGCACCTAGAATAATCAGAAACTCTCAAAAATTTAGAGTTAGCATAATAGAAGATTTAGCATACCAGAACACTTACCTGTGCTCATGAGGAACCCCTCCATGCACCAAGAGGCTATTATTCTAATAAATCAAGTGGGTAATGAATGGTTTAAAATTAGGAAAGGTATGTTTCAAAGTTGTATCCTGTTACCATAATTATTCAATCTGTTTGCTGAGCAAATAATCTGAAAGCTGAATTATATGAAGAAAAACATGGCATCAGGATTTGAGGAAGATTCATTCGTAACCAGCAATAGGTAAATGAGACTTGCTGAAAATGGAGAGGATTTAAAACACTTAGTGATGAAGATCAAAGACCATAGCCTTCAGTACGGATTGCACCTCATGTAAATCAAGTCAAAATCCTCACAATCAGACGAGTAAATAATAACATGATAAATGGAGAAAAGACTGAAGTTATCAAGGACTTCAGTTTGCTTGGATCCACTATCAATGTTAATGGAAGAAGCAGTTAAGAGTAAGGAAGAGTTTGGCAGAGGAAAGATGAAAGTAGTGGGGAAAACAAGAGTTAAAGTGGATAGAGGTAAATAACGTAAACTGATCGCACATGGAGGGGACTGAAATCATTGTAATGAAACAAAGCATATTATTTGTTGAATGTAAAACTGGCACTATGCCTTGAAAACCTACACTCACTTCACAATAAAACATTAAAAAAATAAATAAATGAGATATTGCATTAGCCAAATCTGCTGCAAACTACCTCTTTAAAGTGTTCAACGACAAAGACCCCAGTTTGAAGATTGCAGGGCCTCCGACCCAAACCACGGTATTTTCAATTGCTGCCTATGAATATGACATTTTGACAATGAATAAGGAAGACCTTAGAAGAATTGACATATTTGAATGATGGTTTTGGGGAAGAATATTGAAAGTACCATGGATTGCCAGAAGAACAAATAAATCTGTCTTGGAAGAAATATGGCCAGAATGTTTCTTAGATGTGAGTATGGTTATACTTAGTTTTTTGTACTTTGGAAATATTACCATGAGAGACCAGTCTTTGGAGAAGGACATCATGTTTAGCAACGTAGAGGGTCAGTGAAAAACAGGAAGACTTCCAACAAGATGAATTGAAATAGCGGTAATAGTAACGGACTCAAACATAACAATTGTGAGGATGCTGCAGAATCAGGCATTGTTCTGTCTTCAGTTGGAACAAATTGAACTGCACTTAGAATAAACAACAAAGGCATTCAACTGTGTGGATCACACACAAAAACTGTATACCATTGCAAACAATGGGTGATTGATTCAGAGCACTTAATGATGCTCATGAGGAACATGAACATAGATCAAGAGGCAGTCATTACAGCAGAATAAGAGGGTACTGAAAGATTTGAAATTAGGAAAGGTGTGTGTCAAGGTTGTACCCTTCACTATACGTATCTCATCTCTGAGCAATTTCAGAAGCTGGATTTTATGAAAATGAGCATGGCATCAGGATTGGAAGAGGGGTCATTAACAACCTGCAATTGAAAGATGACACAACCTTTCTTCCTGGAAGACAAGAGGAATTAGAACACTTCCTGACAAAAATAAAAAATAAAAACTACAGTCTTTAATATGGATTGCATCTATATGTAAAGAAACTGAAAATCCTCATAATTGCCCCAATAAATAACAGTATGATAAACAGAGAAAATATTAAAGTTGTCAAAGACTTCATTTTGCTTTGATCCACAATTAACACTCATGGAAGCAGCAGTCAAGAAATCAAAGGATGAATCTGTGTAAAGTGTTAAAGAACAAAATTGTTACTTTGAGGACTAAGTTGCGCCTGACCCATGCTATGGTATCTTCAATTTCCTCATAAGCATGTGAAAGCTGGACAATGAATAAGGAAGACTGTAAAAGAATTCATGCATTTCAATTATGGTGTTGGGGAAGAATATTAAAAGTATAAATGGATTGTCAGAAGAACAAACACATCTGTTTCGGAAGGAGTATAGTCAAAATGTTCTTTAGAAGGGAGGGCAGTGAGACCTTATCTCTTGTTTGGGGGCATCTTGTCAGGAGGGAATCAGTCCCTGAAGAAGGACATCATGCTTGGTAAATAGAAGGATCAATGAAGAAGAGGAAGACCCCCAACAAGGTATACTCACACAGTGGCTACAACAATGGACTCAAACAGAACAATTGTGAGGATGGCCCAGAACCGGGCAGGGTTTTAGTCTGTGGGCTAAAGTTGAAGATGACTAGATAACACCAAACAACAACACAACAACGTAAAAATACTAATGAAAAATAAGTGAAGAATACTTTCTATCAAAGATCATAGTAATAGTTTCAACAGTTTTATTACTGAAGAAGGAAAGGGCTTATTGTTAGTGTTTCTGTGTATATAAAATTCTATTTTAATAGGAAATGTATGCCGCTAATATAAAAAAGTTACAGAGTAGATTTGATTATGCACCATTCATGATGCCATTCTTGACACAGAATCTAATATCTAAACAAATGCTGAGTTTCAGCAAGATTTAGTGTGCAGGACTTAATGCTCACATCAAATTAAAAAGCTGAATTTATTCAAAGAAATATACTTTTAATCTGAGCATTATTTTTAAATGTAGATATAATTATCTCTTATAAGTCCTGTGTGTCACTATTTGATAAGCACTGGACTGCTAATTGAAAATTCGGTCATTCAAACACACCAGTTGCAACTTGGAAACCCTATGCACAGTTGCTATGAGTCGGAACCAAGTAAACAGCATTTAACACCAACAACAATTATTTCCTATGATGTTTAATAATTTACTAAATCTTGGAGTCCTTGTATGATACTGTGAGATAAGCATTGGATTGCTAACCACAGGTCAGTAGTTCAAACCTACCAGTCACTCCTCAGAAATCTTATACAGGGTCATTATGAGTCAGAACTGACTAGAGGGCACTTAACAACAATAACAGTGCTAAATCTTAATGAGAATAACATTTACGAGGTTATTACTATTTGCTAGAATTTGTTGTGCTTTTTTTCTAATTCTTCCAGTCAAATGTATACTTTCTAGAAAGAAATTAAACAGGTAAAACAGAGTGTCCGTCTTCACCTCTGTGATCTTTCAAGTTCACTTAAATAATCCTTATACATATTTTACCAACATTTTGAAATTTGTTTTGGGTCCAAATCACAGTAGGGTTTTTTAAGAAAAGCATTTTTGATATCTACAGTAATAGCATACATTGTACAGATTCTGAGTTATAAAGAACAATAGACCATTTCATAGATGCATCTCATAGTATCATAAAGCTACATGTTTAAAATTCTATATTGTATGTGGGAATTGGGCCTATAAAGGTATATGAGTATAGATTAGGTAATGCTCTTTTTTCTAGGTAGAAATACATCTACTTTATAATTTATAATAAAAAGGATCATCTCTTCACTTTATATTATCACTTTATTGGCAAAAGAAAGACTGCTTTGCAGAATTGAGGTCACTGTTGAATATGACAAGCATCTTAATGTCATGTTACTGTTTATATCCTCGTCAGGAACACCAGTCATCCAGGTGACAGCTAGAGACGCTGACGACCCTTCCAGCGGCAATAATGCACGTCTGCTATACAGCCTCCTGCAGGGACAACCATATTTCTCCATTGAACCCACAACAGGTATTTCTGAATAAAACACAGTATAATACAACATGATTCTGAAACAGGCAAACGCACAAGAGTTAAGTTACTAATAAACATAAACTGTTGTTGAGAATGTCAGTGACAGCTGGAGCACTGTAGTCACTTAGACAGCAAAAAATGAGTTAAACATTCCTTTAAAAATACATTTAAACCCAAATCACCATTGACATATATTAACAAAACTCCTTGTGTGGCGCTGTAGTATCATCACTAGACTGTAAACCACAAGGTCGGCAGTTCAAACCCACCAGTTGCTTCTCAGAAACCATATACAGGGTCACTATGAGTGGAAACCGACTTGATGGCACTTAACAACAACAACATGTGCAGATATGTGGTTTCCATAAATACAGTTTTTGTTGTTTTGTTTTTTATTCCAGGGCACTATCTGGTATGTTACAGTGATTCAACATAGTTAAAAATCTGACTGTATGGTTGGATACTTAACAGGTTAACTCAACTAGGGGCGTTTCATGGTAACAGGGAAAGAATAATTGGTGTCATATTTCATTCTTAAAGGAGTTATAAGAATATCTTCTGAAATGGACAGAGAGCTGCAAGACGAATACCGGGTAATTATACAAGCCAAGGACATGATTGGTCAGCCTGGAGGACTTACCGGAACAACAAGTGTATTCATTACACTGTCTGATATTAATGACAATAAGCCTATATTTAAAACAAGTAAGTACAAGTCATCCTGGATGGCTTTATATTATAAAGTAAGTGTAAGTGCATGGAGTGTCTACAAATGTTAGAATTTGCCATCTAAAAATCACAGCAACAATGTTGTTGTTGTTGTCCTTGAATGCCACTGAGTCGGTTTTTCCTTAAAGCGATCCTGTATTGGATTTCTAAGGCTGTAAATCTTTGTGGGGGTAGAAAGTCTCATCTCTCTCCTGTGGCGCTTGAACCACTGACACTGTGGTCTGTAGTCCAGTGTATTATTGGAATCATATAAAATAATTGTGTTACAAACTGCTCAAAGATGTGATGAGTGTGGCAGTAGTGTGAATAGGCAAATGCAGATGAGTCATGTGTTTTTCTGTTGCTGCCATAACAAATTTCCAGAAAAAAAATTTAATTGAAACTACACACATTAATTATGGTAGAGTCTCACCAAGCTGAGAATCAGACAGTGAATTTGGGGTCGTATTCATGGACTCTACAGGAGTTCTGGTGTGGCGCTGCAGGATAATGCACTGGACCACAAAGTCAGTTGGAACTGCACAGTTGGCAGTTCAAACCCACCAACTGTTCCTTGGAAACCCTAGACAGGGTTGCTATGGGTCGGAACCGACTTGATGGCACTTAACACACAGCAGGAAGGGAGAATCCGTTGCTTGCTCATTCTCACATTGGTAGAACTCTGTTTCATGTCATTGGAGAAGCGCTATCTGGTTTCATTTCTGACTGTCGGCTGGGGAACTGAGGTCTTTCTCAGATTCTTATTGGTGGTTGTCTTATGTCCGAAGGAGTATCCAATCCTTACACTGCCATGTCTTCAAACCACAATTCTACCTCTTCTTCCACTTTTAAGGAGTTCTGGTGTGGCACGGTGGCTTAAAGCGCTGGACTGCAAGGTTGGTTTGAATGACAAAGTTGGCAGTTCAAGCTCACCAGCCACTTCTCAGAAACCCTATACAGGGTCCTATGAGTCAGAACTGACTCGATGGCATTTAGCACCAAAAACATACAGCAGTTAAACATATCTAAAAGCGTAGTGGAGTACACATTGGGCAGCTAACCCCAAGTCCAGCATTCTGAATCTTCAAGGGGAAAGATGAGGTTGTCTGCTCTCATAAGATTTACAGCATTGGAAACCCTATAACCACCACCTCCACCGTGCAGTAATTGGACTCCTGGTGTGGTGTTGTATGATAAGTATTGGACTGCTAACCAAAATATCAGGGGTTCAAACCCCGACTGCTCCTTTGAAACTCTATACAAGATGGCTATGAGTCAGAACCGACTCAACGACACTTAATAACAATGTACCCTAATTAAACTGAGTCCACTGTTTAAAGAATAGACTGTTTACTCTTCTTCACACTGGTTGCTCTTATTGAAATGCCATTACCCTCCTTTCAAGTTAATATTCATTACATCAGTTTTGAAATTGTGTTTTTGAATAAGTTTCAGAAAATATCAGAGTCTAGATATTTCTATAAGAATTCTAGGCTCTAGAATTCTAAATATCAGAGTATAGAATTCTACAAAACCAATGTTTGTTTGTTTTTTCATTTCAAATACCTTCTTTAGCCAGCATAACAGGTGATTATACAAATGGACCTCACGAGATGGAATACACAGAAATCAACTTGACTTCATCTGTGGAAAGCTTCATATCATTAGTCAAAACAAGGCCAGGGACAGATTGTGGATGAGACCATCAATTATTCATAGGTAAATTCAGACTGAAGCTGAAGAAAATGAAAACAAGTCCAAGAAAGCCAAAATATGACCTTGAATATATCCCACCAGAATTTAGAGCTTATCTGAAGAACAGATTTGATACATTAGACACTAAAGACAGAAGACCAGAAGAATTGTGGGATGATATCAAGAAAGCAAAAAGTCAGTAAGGATACAAGAAAGATGCAAAAGATCAAAATAAATGTCAGAAGAAACATTGACACTTCCTCTCCAGTGTAGAGATGCTAAAGAAAATGGAAGAAATGAGGAGGTACAAGTGCTGAACAGAAAATTTCAAAGGTCAGCTGGAGAGGACAAAGTCAAATATTAT